TTATTCAGAAAAACAACAACAACAACAACAACAACCATCACAAAAGGTGCTTGTAAATTTTAGTGTTGTGGGAAAAGTGTGTGGAGCTGATATGATGAGAACTTGGGGGGGTATGCAATCAGTTTGGCCACAATGTTTACCTCTTGGAGTGATTGATTTATGGAGCAAACAAAAACATATGTGGATATAAAAAAGATAAAGTCATAGTTAATTTAAATTTAAATTTTTTTAATTTTTTTAATTTTTTTTAATTTTTTTTTAATTTTTTTTTAATTTTTTTTTAATTTCCATTTTAAGCACATGGTGAATCTCTATGACCACTAATTTATGCTACGTCAATATATAGTCAATCGTTAACTTAAATTTTTTTTTTATAAGCCATGGTGACAAAAGTTGTTAATTAGTATTAGTCACTGTGACTTGACAGTCAGCTCATCAAAGTCGGGCGGCTGAGTCAAGCGGCTAAGCTTAGAGAAATACTGATTATTTTTTTTCATCAATTCATATATATATATAACCAAATCCCTCCTCTACCATTTTTTTTTATTCCCATTTTCAAATCATATATTTTTATATTTTCAATTCAATTAAAACAATCAATGAAATCCTTTACAAATTCTCTTTCAAATCTTGGAGTTCTTAAAAAAAAGCAACTTGATAAAAATGCTGCTGCATTTGATTCTTTTAAAGATCCTCTCTTGTCTTGTGTGAATGACAATTCATCTTCTCCTTTGTCCAAAGCCCAATTTCTTCTTGATGAAATCAAATCTAAACGATTTCCTCGTTGGGACCCATCCAAGGGATTGATTTCTGAACAAGACTTTACCGACTTACAAACTCAGCTTTGGACTATTGCCAATACTGCTCCCACGGTGGCTTGCAATGATCAATCTGCAGATATCCAACCTGTGATTACAACCATTTTAAAATCATTAAAGGATGAAGAAAACAAATACGAATTTGCCAAACTTTTTTATGATATTTTTGATGAGGAAATGACGGCTCAAACCAAAACTACAACTGAAAACCCCCCCCAGATTGTTCCACGAGATGAAATGAAGGTGCAAATCAAGGAGTTTGAAGACCTTGCATTTATAAAAGACAATGTTGATGAAGCAAAAGTAACTGCTTACCTTGAAGACCTTTTTTCTGATGTCCAAGACGAGCTTAAAGAGTTTCGTAAAACTTTGGGTGTTTTTTCTCTCCAAAGCCTTAAAGCTGACGAGACTAGTATCACCCCAGAAAAAATCAAAGATGCCATTCGTCTTTATCGCAATAGCGGGCTTCTAACCAACGAAGAAAGTGCAATTCTTAACAGTTTCCTTCAAGATGATACCGTTATTAATGAAATTGTTTTTTTCGTTCAAATGAAACTCGCTTCTATTGACACTTTTCAATGGGAATCCCCAGTCCCCTCTTCTCCTATCCGTCAACTCAATGGTCGTTATCGCATAATCATGCATACAGATCTCTTAGACGGAATATTTTTTACTTACATTGGCAAGATTTGGTCAAAAGTTTTTTCCGAATGTATCAATAAGTTTTTCCTTTCTCCTGCTTGGTCCCGCCCATACTACAAGCTTTTCACCAAAAGTGAAAAAAGAGTTCGTGTACGAGTTTTTGAAGAAAATATCCTTAAGCTACCCTTTTATTTCGATTCTGAATATATTTCAAAATTATTGGAAAGTAATAGCCTTGATACAATCAGTTCATTTAGAATGAAAACACAGTCTGAATTTTTCTATTCTCAGCTTGATACCATCAACAAAAACAAATCTGGCTATGATAATGACGATGATGATGACGATGATGATGATGATGATGATGATGATGACGATGATTATGATGACAACAAAAAGGACAATTCCAAATCACCAATTAAACTTAAACAAGATTTACTTTCTTTAATCATTACTGAATTGGAGCTTTCTCTTGCTCTTAAAAAGGATCACGCTCTTGTGCGTACAGACTACAAATCTTTTGGTCCCAGTGTTTCCTACACAACTATCAATGCTATCCTTAAGTTCTTTAACGTGTCTCAAACCTGGCTTGATTTTTTCCAAAAGTTTCTAAAGGCACCTTTGGATATCAAAATCCCTGGTGAAGACGTCCCGGAGCCCACTCGTACCCGGGTGCGTGGTGTTCCGATTTCGTTTGCCCTTAGTAAGCTTTTTAGTGAAGCTGTACTTTTTGCGCTTGATTTCCATGTCAATAAAATAAGTAATGGTTCCGTGTTTTTGTACCGCATGCATGATGATATTTGGTATTGGACCCGCAGCAAAAGCCAATGTGAACTCATTTGGACCTCCATCAACGAATTTAATAGCATAATGGGGCTTGAGTTTAATTTGGAAAAAACAGGATCTCTTGCTCTTAGTGCTGAACGCCAACCTTTTACTTCAACTACATTACCAGATGGTGTTGTTAAATGGGGACTTCTTTATCTTGATAATAATGGGAAATTTAAGATTGACCAAGAGGCTGTTGACGAGCATATTTC